GATAGATGAGATTTGCAGATCTACAGCCGAGATCTATGAAAGTAAATAATCAGCCTGCAGATCTGTTGATACTTCGAACTGCCACCACTTATCAGTTTAGATCAGTTGAAGCCATCAACTGACCCGATCTCAATTGATGTCTACTGATGCTCCGCGCCAAAACACCGTTGACAAACTCATACACCGTCAACTGATCATTTTTACCAGGGCAAATCCCTGAGATGGTTAACCAACTTGCCAGTCCCACATTTAATTAACTCGGCTGGAATGTTTCCTGGCCCAGGAGCTCTTCCATTCATCAATTCCCTGATTGCTTTGACCACCTCCTCAACTCGAATTTCCATTGAGTGATCCTCGACTATATTTTCAGCATTCCCCGTTTGAAACTCTGGTCGTCCTTCCGTCAATAATTTACTAAAATGTTCGTCAAGCTGTGAGATTGTTATCGGAGACATAATGTCCCGTTTCATGTCCCTTCTTAGGCCTTTGATCAGCTTCCAGCTCTCAGCACTCTTCCTTCCCCCCACCCAAGTAGCATTTTTCAACGTAAAAATTGATATAATGTATCCATTTATAGGTATAAAGTTGTTAAAAATATTGCAATAATATAGCTATAAAGTAGCATTTCTCAGTCAACATTTGGACGATTTTTCCCGATTTCGTCAGGTCAGATCGATAAAAAAAATCTATACTTAATAGCAATGTCATTGCTATTTGTGGCGGTGCCAAATGGTTTTAGGAAAATTGAGGAATTTATCAGTCTACCCTAATTTTTACAACGTTGCAGAATCCATTCGAAAATCCGATCTTGCCGGAATTGACAGGAAATTCATGATTCAATCATCCAGCACCCTTTAAATTCTTCTGTCCGAGGCGGGATTAGAACGCGCAACCTTCGGATTACTGCCGTGCGCCGCCTTTACCGTTTGAGCTAGCCAGGCTACCTGTCGGGTGCCTCACTTTTCACACATTATGTAGCTCCGACATGAAACAAAACCCTTAACGGCGCATTTGCATGAAATAAAAAATTCAAAGAATTAAAAGTAACAAAAACAGAAACGAAATAAAAGGAGGAAAGAAAGGCATGAAAGAAGTAAAATTAAATTTCCCAGAACTTGGTTAAAAGCATAGACGATATTTATTTTGATTGACTGGAAATTCAAACCTTTTAAAAAAGCATTGAAATGTTGAAAGTTTCAGATTTATCGAGTTTGAGCTATTTCGAGAAGACTAAATTGAGGAAAAATGGTTGTTTCATCAAATTGTTGCGATACATTCCTGCATTCATGCTAGAGATTTGAAAACAAGTTACGGAAAGGAACACGCGGGAGTTTTTCATTATACTTAATAGCAAGATTATTGCGATAATTTTTGCGCCTTGCAATTAGCAGATTGGCAACAGGTGACACAACCAATAATCGGAATTTATTGCTACATCAAAGCAACAATATAGCAATAATTTCGGCTCCTTCAAATGAGGGAGTAGGCAATACGCATGGCAAATATAATATAGCAACATTCCTACGATTTTATGTCCTTCTATAGGTATCCTTGCTACTTGGGCAGGTATGTGTCAATCCTTGAGCAGTTGGTCTCCCAAGACTCGTTTTTCTTCCTGGTGATTAAAAGACGAACCCTTGCCTGGGCTTTCCTATACGCGCCGCGGGTGTCTGCAGTCCTAAAAGCCAGATAGTCATGGTACTTCCTACGCTTTTCTTCAATTACTTCATCTACCTCTTTGTCCCACCAGTAGGGTTTCTGTACATCCTTGCTCTCATTACACACACCCAGGGCTTCCTTCGCAGCTGAATGTATACAACTTTTGATGAACTGGTACAACTCTTCTGCAGTATTATCGAAAGTTTCTACTCCCAGTTTCTCACCCAGCCGCTTCCTGTAGAGCGCTTTCACGCTTTCATGCTGTAAGCTATCGATGTTGTAGTGCCCTTGTTCGATCTTCGTTCCTTGTGGCTGACACTTCTGATGTTGCAAGGTACTCCTCTGCAGCCCATACATAACCGGAAATGCGATCTCCGCCTTGAGAAAATGGTGATCACTATCACAGGAGAACCCCCGGCAAACTCTTACTTGTTGAACCTTCATGGTACTCGTTTGCCTGGTGACCGCGTAGTCGATGATTGACTTCAACCCCCGAGTTTGCTGAACCCATGTGTACTTATGGATATCTCGATGTTGGTAGAATCCGTTCAGTATTTTCAACTCGTTTTGTTCACACATATCAATGATGCGTGCACCGTTGTCCTTCATCGCCTCTTCACCGAAAGGTCCAACAACTTTAGAACCATTCCTTCGTCCGGTTCTACCATTCAAATCTCCCATGATAATGACCTCCCTTGTCCTTCCAACCCGCAGAACCTCGTCGTTGAGTTGCTCAAAGAACTGATCCTTTAGATTGACGGGAGCATCATCATTCACACCATATACTCCTAACAGGGCCACCTTGTGACCATGCAGTGTAAGATGCATTCTGATGATCCGCTGGTCTACTGCTTCCCAAGTAGTTAGCCTGGTAGCACAGGTCAGATTGAAGATGTTTTTAAAATGTGTCATTGATCCGAAAAAATTTCTTTAAAACATTTCAATGAAACATCTTGAAAACATATCATGTGTCCAGACGGTTTTGAAAAGGTTTCTAAAACAACTCTATGTCACCCCTAAATTTCGTCTCACAGATCCGTCCGATAGATGTTTCTCATACCTTTTCAACACATCTCAGAGAGGTATCGGCACCGAGGCTATAAGTATCAAAAATTTTCAGACATTTGTTCTAACTAATGTCGCTGTGGAATTAGAACCATCACAGCAGGCATCCCTTGATACCAACCATGCATGAGGGCTGAATCGTTACACTTCATCATTATCAACCTATCAGAGGGATTAGAACACCTTCACTTTAGAAAAGTATACGCAAAGCACGATGTACGGTTTCAATATTCTAGATAATCCATAACTTGTGAGCTTTTATGGAGATGAACTCGATTCATACAAGGAATTAACTGTGTTAATAACCTCCACATAATTAAATGTCCAAAAAGTATAGCTTGAGACGAAAAATTAAGCTGAAATTTGGTAAAATTGAAAAATTAAACTTCAACGCCCTCTGGTGGATTCAGTTTGAACTAGGTAGGAAAAGTTTTAGAAAGGTCCTAGAAATGTTTCTATGTTATTCAATGAAACATTTCTAAAACGTGTCAAAAACATTTTTAAGTGACGTATAAATTCGAACAAAATATTCAAAAAGGTTTCAAAGACATTATATTTATTTTTAATTGAAAACAAATCCAAAATGTGTCAGATAGGTTGCTGGGAGGTGTCGTTGAGCCGTGCAGGAAAAGTTTCTGACAGTACTTTGAAAAGTTGCTTGAAACAATCTGTAGATTAATTTGAAACATTTTCAGAATATTTCCAAAACATTTCACCAAACACTTCAAAATTAGAAGTATCTGAGAACATGTTGGAGATGTGTTGAAAACGTTTTTAAAAAGTGATAGTAACAATTTGAAAACATTTTGAACACATTTTAAAAACGTTGTTTTCACGTTTCCGTAAGATGAAATGAAAATATTTTTAAACTGTGTTCAAAACATGTTGTCTCTGATGAAATATTTTACATGACTCTCAACTTTGTCTTCAAAATGTTTTTAAAACATTTCATTTCCCCTCCAAATTTTTCTTTTGTAAAATGTTTTGGATTGGTTTTCAAAACATTTCTGTTGTGTTAAATGTATCCAACTTGAAAACATTTTCAAAATGTTTTGGATATGTTTCAATGAAATGTTCAAAGTATTTGCGTCATTGAAACATTTCTGAAATGTTTCTAATATGTTTCATCGAGATGAATCAGTTTCGACACAAGTGGAATGTTTCTAAAACCTTACCGATCCGAGCTGTGCTACCAGGGTATAGACGGACGCAAACTTTTCCGGATAAGTATGGCGACTCCTTGCTGTGCGCGTTGATTTTTACTGACACCACTATAGAACAGATCATAAGTACCTAAGTTTTCTGATCCTGTGCCTTTCTTTTTCGTTTCTGTTAACACGGCGACATCTGCATTATACTTCTTTAACTCCGATATAACTTCTGTCAATTTATTAGAAATGCCCTGTACATTCCATGTCCCAAAAACCATCGTCCTTTTCCGTAGTTTGTGTCGCAAAATCCGTTTTTTTCCATTATCACCGAGGCTAGCTTTATTAGGCTTTTTAACATTAAGTTTTTTCCGGGTATCGGGGAGTTAGCCCGATGCCCCAACCCCCAACCTGGAGGACCAGGGTTTGATTTTGGAGTACCGTCTCCTAGACAGGCTGCTTTCACCACAGCTATGAGCCCTGTCTGCCCCTCTGATGAGTGGTTCCTACGCCATGAAGCCGGTGACCATCTCCACCCCCCTTTGAGGCAGGGGCTACCAGCTGGGGTCCGCAGGATTGCTAAACCTGTGACAGTACTGAGTGCAGTCCCCCATACGGTCAAAAAGGAAGATTATATCCTGAAAAATACACATCAAAATTAAGTAATTTTAATGTAAAAAAAAGAAAAAATCAAGAAAGCAAAACTCTAGACGCACTGATAAGAAACATGGACAAACCGAGAACTGATTATGAGCAATGCGATGGAGGAAATGCGTAGCAGTTGTTCCGAGTCAGACAGCATGAGGAAGGGAGTGATACTGCCTTAGGACCCATGCCAAAATAGAAGGGTGACACGTGTTGCGAGCAGGTAGGGGTGGGTTTACGTGGAGAGGGAAACGGAAAATCAGATGGTGGGACGTCTCCCAACTATATGACTCTCAACTACTAAATATGTCGTTATCAAATCGAGGTAAATTCTGCAACGTCGGCCGCGCAAATCGGAAAACCAAGGAATGACTGGCACATGTAGAACCTAAGAGATTTCATTTAAAACAAATCCGAAGTAAATCGTTCCAGTAGTTTCCGAGATCGAATTATTACAAACTGTCCAGCGGCAAAGACGCGAATATGTCGTTATCAAATCGAGGTAAATTTTTCAACGTCGGTCGCGCAAATCGAAAAACCAAGGAACGCCGGCACATCTAGAGCCTAAGAACTTTCATTTTTTTCATTTTAAACAAATCCAAGGAAAATCGGTCCAGTAGTTTCCGAGATCGAATTAGGACAAACTGTTCAAACTGAAGGTTTACAATAAAAGCCTTAGGATATTAAATATATAGATTTCAAAAAACATTATATTCAGTGCGAACACTAACAATATAAGAGAACACGCTTTCAGACGGTTTTTTTTTTGCGAACGGAGGGGGAGATAATCTACTTCAATTCGATATGTCAGTACCTACCGCGCACGGTGACTATAATTTTAAGTTACTATTTCTCAGAATTGTGTTTTTTAAGCTGATTTTGAAAAAAAGAATTTCACGTGTTATAGTATTCCTAGTCGTGAGTGCTGTGTAATAAAAATCTTATACATTTTAAAGTTTTTTTTTTCCATGCAACTACTACGTATACTACTTACATAACTAAAGCGTCTCGTCCTTTCTTCCGTCAAAGCACAGCCCTTTTATTCTATTTCTGGATTTCTTTTCAGCTTCGGCTATTCTCTTAAACATTTTCTTCTTCTGACGTTTTGTACAACTGTAGATTCGTCCCTTGCATTAATTACCTAATTAAGCATCGACTAAGTTGCTGTGGCAATCATAGCAGCAGCTCTAATGGACACACAAGCTCCCGCAACGTCCCACTGTCAGTAATTGCAAACCGACGGTGAAACTACCAAACCACGTATCTCGGTTTGCGACGTCGCAGACTTCCTGTCATACTTTGTTTTTTAAATGAAAAACTATTTAACGTCCATTCTTGAAAATTTCTGTGATTTTTCCTCTTCGCGCGGAGAAAATTCTGTGAAAATTTCAAAAAATGATATTGATTTGGTCTACTTACTCCCAAAAAATAAAATGTGAGCGTAGATTTTTAAACACCGCAAACGAGATACGTGGTTTGGTAGTTTCACCGTCGAAACGCATTTGCCCCAATAATGATTTGGGGTTATAGTCTTAGCCACCAAGCTAACAGAGGCCCTACTCCACCTTGCGCTGACTTCAACGTCATGCATTAAATGGATAGTTGTGCCTAGCTTCTGATGATATTTTAGCAGCTAAGAATCAAGAATGGCGGTAGCCACCCCCGGTCGAGGAAAATGACGTCCTCCTAAAGTCCCGATAACAAACGGGTGGCCGACACTCTTGGTCACAGGCAACTCCCTTAATCTGAAAATTGATTCGATTTAGAATGGAATTCAGAGCAAACGGCGGCACAGATCATAATCACGGTTTACTTCGGTAAGAGCGGAAACTTTCTGCCTAAGTTCTCTTGTTGGCGAAGAAACATTGGTCGAGCTTACGTTCCTAAATTTTTTTCGTTCTTTTTGTTTTTACCTTTAGAAGTAGACAACGGTCAGAAACGAAAATCAAAACCTAGGAGGAACAGAACCACTTTCAGCAGTGAACAGCTAAGCGCACTTGAAAGAGTGTTTGAGAGAACACACTATCCGGATGCCTTTGTCCGAGAAGAACTTGCTAGGCTAGTTTCCTTGAGTGAGGCGAGAGTTCAGGTAAGTGTATTGTTTTGCCACATAAACATACCTATTGACGGCCGAAGTGTGACAACACGTATCTTCAAACTTTAGGATTGTTGACTTATCTAAATCTATATCGTGCATCGACCTCAATGATTATGTAACTTTTCCTGTTTGTGAATCTTCAATCCTCAATATCGTTTTTGTCAGTTGCGTTGATAACCGCCCCAGCGATGGGCGACGAATAAACCAGTTCGTAAGCAGATCGTAATTTGTCTCCTTTTTCCTCATATTCCAACAAGGATGTAAAAATATAGTAATATGCGCTCAAAATTATCGAGGAAGTCAATAATAATTATACGTTTCCATGCAAAAGAAAACATGTTTGTAAAAAGTACATCACAAATCACTGATAAAATCACTGGCATCACTGAATAAGTAAGTTAGCACAATTAGAAACTACTTAAAGAGAAAATAATCGAAAACAAGAGTAAAAGCCTCCTGTGAACTATTGTTTTTTTAACGAAACCGAATATCACGAATCAGCAGAGGAAGACAATGCGTGTATAACTAAGAGGATAAGCTCTAGTTATTTGCCTAGCATTCAGGTTGATTTCGATACCTTATTTGGCTTACCTAGAGGAGCCTGAAGGGAACAGGAAAAAAGGAGCCTTCAGGTAATCGAAATTTAGCTTTGCATTCGGTGCAGAGGTTGTTCCTGTTATTCAGGCCATGGCAACGGGCGAAGCCCATAAGGGTCCCGTTTCAAGTACATAATATGGGTACCAACCAACTTTGCATTTTCATGATAGGCTAGTATTCGGTAAGGCAGCCGTAAGTGCTTTCTTCTGCATTCTTTCGCTGTTGCGCTTTGGACACACAAAAAATACATTTTCAGGTTAGTAATTGGCAAGGGCGGCATTTTACGTAGGAGCACTGTTTTCATTGGCTCTCTGGAGGAAGAATGCTCCTTACGGTTGTTTTATCTGAGACCACGTCATTTTTTGCGCACTTACGGCTCTCTCACATGTGCCACATTCATACAAGGTGGACGAATTTTGATTTTTAGCTACATCAGTAATTTCATCTGGTATAGATATTATGAATTTTGAGAATTTGAGAGTTACCTACGCCTTTCTTCCAATGGGGAGAGGCGGGCAAAGTAGAATTTGGCCTTTTAAAAGATCTTTCCGTCCTATGGCGACTCTGGTAGCTGGAATTGAAACTGTCATGTTCGTGTGGTAACAGATTTGCGTAATTACTGATCGATTACCGACTGCGCCATGTCATGTTTGTGGGATTGTGAATGATGAACACTACGTGTTAGAGAGGACAAGAACAATGTCTTTCATTGATAAGACCCCACGATGATGCTAGATGCTACATGAAAACGAACATTGACAAAGGGATGATCCAACGTGGAGGATCCACAGGGTGTTAGAAAAGTCCCCTCCCCCCTCCATCTAACTTTTTACCTAATTGAGATAGAGATTTGAAACTTGGAGGATGTTCCTAGGTCAACATGAGCTACTGTTTGGCCCCCCTAAAATTTTTGGGGGGTAACGGACCCCAACTTTTTTTTCAAATGGGAAGACCCCCTTTGTGATACCTCGTTCGAAAGAGCATAAAAAAAGAATTTTTTTTGCACTAACTCGAAGTCATTATCCGAAGCCGTTTCAAAATGGCGACCGGTTAAAGTTCAAATGGCCGAAAATTGGCATCTCGACTACTTGCACATGGATTTGCTTTAAACTCGGTACCCAGGGCGTATTTTCGCACGAGAAAAACGAATTTGACGTTAGATTTTTAAAAAAAAACCCTAATTTTTCAAAATGGCGGCCGGTTAAGGTCCAAAATGGTCGAAAATTGTCAAACTTGATATTTGGCCGATAGATTCGCCTGAAACTTGATATCTGGAGTAATTTTTGGCACGAGAAAAACGAATTTGACGTTACAACTCAAGTTTGTCTTTTTTCGGCTATTTTGGACCTTAACCGGTCGCCATTTTGAAAAATTAGGGTTTTTTTAAAAGTCTAACGTCAAATTCGTTTTTCTCGTGCGAAAATACCCACAGCTACCGAGTTTCAAACAAATCCATGAGCCAATAGCCGAGATGCCAATTTTCGACAATTTGAACTTTAACCGGCCGCCATTTTGAAACGGCTTAAGATAATGATTTCGGGTTTGCGCGAAAAAATTTCTTTTTTTATGCTCTTTCGAACGAGGTATCGCAAAGGGGGTCTTCCCGTTAAAGAAAAAAAGTTGAGGTCCGTTATCCCCCAAAGGGGGGCCCCCCGAAAATTTTAGGGTGCCAAAAAGTAGCTCATTTTGACCTAGGAACATCCTCCAAGTTTCAAATCTCTATCTCAATTAGGTAAAAAGTTAGATGGGGGGAAGGGAATTTTCTAACACCCTGTAGAAAAGGGGTCACGTGTCCACACCACGGGCGGCAAATATGCAATACCACTGCATCTCCCTCTCACAAATGAAATGCTTGCATTTAGGCTTAGTCTCTGAATCGTGCAGGAGTATTCACTGCTCTGCCACAGCGTGTTGTGGGTACCTACACTGTTATTATACAGGGTGGCCCAGACCTACCGTAGCAGGCCTTTTTTCGGTTAATTTGGGTCGTACGAAGTCCAGGATCACGGGGTTGAATAGGGAATTGACCCCAAGGAATCCGAATTTCATGGTCTCAGAGCCCCCCTGGCGCTCCTTGGGGGTAAAAGGGGGGTCCGTACTTCAAAAGTCAGGGTTTATGTCAAAATTTTAAAATTCTTTCATCGGAATCAGAACGTACAAAAATTTTTACCTTAAATCGACACCAAGAAATCCAAAATCGGCCTATCCATTTCCAAAATACCGACCCCTAAAGGCCCGACAGAGCCCTCTTCCAAAAAAATTCAAGTTCGTTAAATTGACGTAGAGACTCGGAAAAAATGTGTAATCATGGGTAATCGATCCCAAGGAATCCAAATGTGAGGGCCCCGTTGTCCTTAGGGAATTTTCTGATGGGGCACAGGGGTAACCTCCACACCGGTTAAATTTATAAGTTCATAGTCCCCCTGTGCCCCATCAGAAAATTCTCTGAGGACAAAGGGACCCTCAAAGGATTCCTTTGGGTCGATTACCTAAGGTTACACATTTTTTCCGAGTCTTCACGTCAATTTAACGAACTTGAATTTTTTTGAAAGGGGGCTCTGTCCCGCGCCTTTAGGGGTCGGTATTTTGGAAATGGATAGGCCGATTTTGGATTTTGTGGTGTCGATTTAAGTTAAAAATTTTCGTACGTTCTGATTCCGTTGAAAGAATTACAAAATTTTGACATAAACCCTGACCTTTGAAGTACGGACCCCCCCTTTTACCCCCCCCCCCAAGGGGCGCCAGGGGGGCTCTGGGACCATGAAATTCGGATTCCTCGGGGTCGATTCCCTGTTCAACCCCACGATCCTGGACTTCGGACGACCCAAATTAACCGAAAAAAGGCCTGGTACGGTAGGTCTGGGCTACCCTGTATTGCAGGGTTGGGTCGACAAGAGATGGTTGTACAAGCGGGATCGAAGTTCCTGCGTCGAATGGTTTCCCGCAACCCGCCATACATAGCTAAGACGTTCTACCTAGAACGGTTTGCCGCAACCCGCGGTACACACTTATCAACGGCGGCACTGGGGAAATAGTTGCACTCCAGTTCTTGAATCTATACTATAAGCTCCAAGACCTCCTAATTTTGCGAAACTGGTGACGCTTAGTTCCAGCGTTCTACCGGGCCGCTTTTCATGATTTTTGCGGATATTGACGGGCAATTGTCTCTAGATAAGCCAACTCTTTTCAGATTTTGAAAATATGGCCCAGGTTTTTTTATATTACGTGGTAAAGTTGCGAATTCTCCCATATAAACAATGTAAATTTATGTGTTTTGTCATAGTTCGTTTGAGCATTCTACTGGGCCGATTTCCATGATTTTTGCGTAAATCGACAGGTAATAGGCTCTAGATGAGCCCGCTCTAATCAGATTTTGGATAAAGGACCCAGGTTTTTTTAAAATCACGTTATTAAAGTGAGTGAATTTACAGAGTGCTTCGGGACTGCTACCGCTATGCGCGGGAGGATGCGCAGTGGTCGAGGAGGTTGCGGAGTAGGTGTGTAGCCTGCGCATCAGCTCTACACTTATCTACACAAGATTTCCGCCGATTACTGCAAGACGAGCGGTGGCCGAGTCGTCTACGACGTCGGAAGTGTCCACATTGATCAAGGTGTGGGTTCGATCCCCGCCTCCAGAGATACGTAATAATTATCCGATTTAAACAGATCGTTGTTTTACTGTAATATTTCATCAAGCAGTCATTCCAAAACGCGTCCTTTTGACTTCAAACATTTTATTTTTCTTTATTCATCAAAACCAAAAATTATTTCATTCTATTAAGTATACCTTATATCGAATTTTTTTAGGGGAAAAATAAAACTAATACTAATAGGAGGGTAAAAATAGGGCCGCGAAGCGGCCCATTGATGGCGCGGAGCGCCTTCGGGGGGTTGGGCCGCGTAGCGGCCAGGGGGCGTAGCCCCCTAGT